TGAAGGATTAGATAAAAGCTGCCAACTATTTTTGACATTTTTGGCTAAGAGGCCCAAGGACATTGTGAGTTTTACCCAAGAAACTGGCTACTTTTCTTTAGGGTTTTTTACCCTAACTGCCTAGCCAATTCCTACATCCTGTTCTTATCACACCATCCTCTGAAGAGGTTACCCAACTTGCAGATAGGGAATTGGGACGCAGACCACTCTGGCTTCTTCCATGCTGAACAGGGACTCAAGGTGAGGCAATTGGGGTACCCCTTCAGTGGCTTTATATAAAAGACTCCCAAATTGCATAACTCTCATCTGTAGGAGGAAAAGAAAGTCCTTGATTGGTGAATAGGAGATGTGAAGGAAAAGTAAAGGCAAGAGTAATTAATTAGTATTACAAGTTCTAGACAGGGAACTAGAAAAAAGTCAGAACAAGGCAAATTTAAAATGTTCATGTGAGAGTCCATTGGAATTTCTTGACGAAAGCTTCCACAAACATCCCTCTATTGGGTTCCTCCTCATTTTTCTTTTGTCTGCCAAGTCTGGACTTGAGAGTGATGGATTCAGGATTTACTTTCAGGAATTTTGATAGCTGTTGGAGTGGTTAGACTCAGTGTCAGTTCCCTCTCAAAGGCTTCTAGATAGGGGAAACATTTATCCAAAATTTTAGAGCAATAGTGGTTGTCTCCCTTAGGTGGGCACTGCAGTACGCAGACCAAGATTTGAAGTCTTACATCTGAGCAGTACTTTCTGGTTAGGAACAAAATCAGCAATGAGAAATAATTGTCTAAATAATTTTTTATATGGACTTAAGCCTAATGTCTGGGAAGTGTAATCCCTTGAACTCTTAAAGAAATATACTGATGACTTTACTCCTTGGTTATACTTTCCTCTTTGGTGTTTAATTGGCCCAAATAAATTCAATTTGTTTTTACACTTAAGGTCCTTTGAGGATCTGTTCCTCAGGGGTCACATGGGCTTGGGAGGAGCCCCTGGCTCCTTTCTTTTACCAGTTCCATCTATGTGAAGATAAGTCAAAGGTCCTGCTCGACCATATCTGACTTCGCTTGGAAGCATGGATGAGATGTTTCCTCTGAGATGACCCTCCTTATAGACTGGACACTGGTTCAAGTCCATCTCGTGGGGTCTCCATGTCCACCCTGAACAAGTGGACAGGTGACTAACCACAGTTACAGGACATTTTGAGAGATAGTCCATAGTCCTCTAGAACTTAGTCGACCTTGGAGGGCAAGGGGCAAAAACTGTCCTTTAAGACCCTCTGACCACATTAGTATAGGCTTCAAAATATGGCTGTTAAATGTCCAGTAAGTTTAGTTCCACCAGTCTGGTACTTTTAATTACCATGTGTTATATAGATAAAGCTTGGGTAAAAACCCAAATATTCTCAGATAAACCTTGACTAGACATATATTTTGTTTCTTAAGCTAGTTGACTAAACTATGACCTTAGAAATTTTTAGATTATATGTATATTATTTTTGTCTCATCCTTTATATATCATAACAAACCTACACAGACCTTCATAACTTGCTTAGGCTTTTTCATTTTTATTCTGTCTATTTTTGTATACAATCTGGGGAAGGCTAGGAAGAGAAGGCTTGACCCATGCTGGGTAAAGGCTTTCCAGTGTGCATATCCTCAGGTCATTAGACCAGGCTGGCCTTTAACTCACAGAGATCCACCTGCCTCTGCCTTCCGAGTGCAGAGATTAAAGGCATGCACCACCACGCCCAGTGACCATAGACATTTTAAGATTATGTGTATATTATTTTTGTCTCATCCTTTATATATCGTAACAAACCTACACAGACTTTCATCACTTGCTTAGGCTTTCTCATTTTTTCTATTTTGGAAAATATCTCCATTCCCATATCCTTTTAACATCATTTACATTCTCATTTTCTTTTTTTAATAATTATGAGACATACTAGCATTAACATTTTTTTATTAATTTTTGTCTTAAAACTTTTATTCCTTTGTGTACATGCCACTTCACTGTGTACTCCAGGCTAGCTGGCCCACAGGTTTCTGGGTGAGTCTCTGGTCTCTACCTCTTGTCTCATTGTAGGAGTGCTGCAATTACAGATGTGAGCTGCTGCATCTGGCTTTTTATGTATGTTCTGAAAATCTGAACTCAAGATGTCAGGCTTGCACAGCAAGAGCTTTTACCCACTGAGCCATTTCCCCAGCCCACTTTTTTTTAATTCCTCGATCTCTTCTGGGATTTTGTTTTGTGTGTATGTTGTACTTGTTATATTTTCTGATCCCTTAATTTCTTTTATGCTATAATAGATATTGGTGATGAATGAAAAGTGTAGCGTTGTTTTCTGAGTATGTAGCAGTACCATGTTCTAAATGATTAAGTCTACAGTTGAAGGCTATCTGTAGTATTCATGTACTCTCCCTGATTGTCCTTACTATGGACATCATCATCTCTATTTTCTGATTGTTTTCCTCATACTCCTCTACTATTGCCTTATTCCTACTTTCTATTATTGGAACTGTATTTTTGTTTTGTTTTTGTTTTTTGAGACAGTTGTAGCCCCAGCTAGTTTGGAACTCAATATGTAGACCAGGAGGCTTCAGTCTCACAAAGATAAGCCCTTCTCTGCCTCCCGAGTGCTGGCAGCTTTAGAAGTGTATTTTTTACAACCTGTATATGATTGTATTGCTTCTCTGCCTAAAATTATGTAAGGATGGCTCAGTGATTGAAAGCACTTGCCATTCCTCCAGAGGACCTGAGCTCAGTTCCCCGTACTCAACCAGCTCCAGAGGATCAGATACCCACTTCTGGCTTCCTCAGCCCCTGCCCCCATGCACCCAGTCCCACAGACATATATACATAAATGAATAATGAAAAAAAATCTTTGAAGGACTGGAGAGATGGGTCCACAGGTAGGAGCACTGGCTGCTCTTATAAAGGATTTGGTTTCAGTTCCTGGAACTCAAATGGCAACTAACAACCATCTGTAATTCTAGTTCTAGGGGATCTGACCCTTTCTTCTGACCTCCATGGGCATTGCATGACATGAGTGTACTTTCATATATGCAGGCAAAATACTCATGCACATAAAAATAAAATCTTTAAAAAATTATGTAGTGCAAGCATTTTTGATCGAATAATTGCTCCTAATGAAGCAAAAATTGATTTTGGAGGGACAAGATGATGGATGTTATATTGGTTTATTTCTGCAAAGAGCTACAGAATATTGATAGATACATGGGCTATCTGTAGTATTTAAATTTCATAGTGGAGAGCCACTGTAATGAAAATAAGATTCAAGAACACCATTCTAGACACTGTCTTTAAAATAGTAACCATAGCTTTCAAGGCCGTTATTGCTTTATTGCTCTAGCCACGTTCCTCGTGATTCCCCTTGAGTTGTGTTTCTGCCACATTGAATGCCTTCAGCTGTATAAATTAAAACCATATGGAGGACAACATGGGAGAGGGTTTTCATTGCCTTTGAATAAAGGTTTCTTAAGTAGCACGCAAAGAGCAGTGGAGCGTGAGAAAAGATTGATAAAATTGGATCTCATTACAAGTAAAAAAACTTATATTGATTAAAAACACTGAATGAAATGCGGAGCCACACAGTGGGAGAAGATAGTTGCTATGAAAATACTTGATATGAGACCTTTATGCAGAGTATAGAAAGAATACTTAGCACTTGAACATGA